GTAGTCATGCAGCAATGCAGTAATGCAGCAAGTAGACAGTTTTCTGTTTGGGCAGCTGTATCTCTCTCGGTGGACGCATCAGGAATGAAATTTCAGCTGGCATACAGAAGACTCGGTTGGCAGTTGCCAATCTGAGACATCTGTTGCGCCGTCACGACATCCGGCTGTCTGTTAAGGGTCGAGCGTATGCCGCGTCAGTTCGACCGGTTGAGCTACACGGCGCAGAAGCTTGGCCACTAAGGAAACTGGATAAAGACACACTGTCAGTGTTCGAACACGGCTCTCTACGCAGCATTGAACGAATATGGTGGGTCAGCCGGACGAGCATTGTGGAGTTTAGGCACAGCGTTTTAGGGAACTGCGGTCTCCCACTGGAACAAGTGCAATAAATTCCTAAATTTTCTATTCGATCGTACTTCAACCTTCCCTCTTCTTCTTCTCACGTTCATCCAAATGGGCAACCAAAAGACAGCAACCAAAACCGGCGCACAATAATGCATGGTAATGGTCGTACAAACTGAACTGAAACTGATAAAGGGAGTTGATTAGCGGGTTTTCAAATATAATATCACATCACTAGCACGTAATCAGTAGTCTAAGACTGGATTCAGCTTTGTAAGGGATGGAATATAGTGTGGCACAGTTTTTGAAAACCCGCACATCATTTCCGAGCATACTGGTTATGAGAAACAACGAATCCATTACTGTCTTTGTGGATCAAAATGGGATTTTGCAGTTATCTCGATGTGGTTGCTCAGATTGTGCATATGAGCATCACGATGTATTTCTTTCTATGATCAACCGAAGAATTCAACAATAAACGACAGAGCCACCTGAATGACGGAGACATGCAGATGTGTAGAGTAATAAATGAGATCAGACGTCCTGTTCACTGTTCCCTCTGTTCTAGTCGGAAAACTATTAGGCGCTTTTAGGGTGATATACTAGGATGTAACTGAAAAACCTGGAGCGGTACGTAAGTGGTAATACTCACTCTCTACCGCAAATGTCTGGAGAAAACCAGTCTTACGTGATCCCACCACTCAAACTCTCATGGTTTAGACTGCCAGAACGTGTAACTGAAGAGCGAGAGGCTTGCCCTTTCAATTATTTAGCATTCGACAGACCGCGAGTATAATGAACAGCGCTTCTCTCTGAAACGTGCACTAACAAGAGAGACGGCGGGCTTGGTGGACGTTACGTGCAACGGAGATGGAGTCAGCAGTTAGCTGTCGATCCACCCAGCAATTATTCCAACTCATTCGCGCTGCGGGTCCCAAAAGACAGTACGTTTGCGAAACAATCTGCGAATTAGATAGTACGCTAATATACAATGTTCAACAACACTTAAAGCGTTGGGCAGGGCATTTCACATCGCAGTTCACTCAGCCCGAAATGTTTCTTTTGAGAATGCACCCTGGTCACTATCCACTGAAGCGCCAACAGAAGCGGGGATCCGGAATCAAATTCAATCCCTGAAACACCACGAGGCAACTAGATCAGACGGCCTGCCACCTGCCCTCTTCAAAGATGATGGAGAAGCTCTCGCGAGAGAACTTGTGAGACTGTTCTCGAAGATCTGGGAAACCGAAAGTATACCCCACATACGGGGAGATTCAATCGGTACACCCGTCTACAAGAAGGGGCCGTCGCAACGCTTGGTCCTACCACAGCGGCATAACTCTGATTCCAATAGCACCGAAGCTACCAGCGTCCGTTTTATTACATAAACTTAACCCATTTCGCGAAAGGAAAATCCACGAAGAGCAGACTGAGTTTCGTGCACGCCATGGATTCATAGATCAAATCTTCGCCCTTCGTGAGTTACTGAAACACCATCGCACATACAGACAGTAAACTATTGTCGTGTTTTCGGACATCAGGCGGCCCGCACCGTGGATCTGTTTGCGGAGATACGGAGTACCCGAAAAGTATGCTTCACTCCTAAAAGCGCTCTATCATCAGACCTCAGGGAAGGTTAGGGTCTATGGTGAACTTTCACCCGCATTTCCTGTCACCTATGGGGTACGACAGGGTTGCCCCATCTCTCCGTTTCTCCTCGACTTTGCCATGGATGATGTTCTACAAAACGCGTTACATATGATATGTCCTTTGCACCTTTAAAGTGCAAATTGTTGTTGCAAGATTATCAGGAACCCGTTCTTGCACTTTTGTTTGCTAATGACACCCTGGAGGTAGTCGAAAGCTTTGTCTACCTCTGGAGTTGCCTAGGCTCAGGCGGAGGCGAGGAGATCTCTGAACACGGTATCAAAGTTAAATTAGCGTTTGCTAATCTGAGGCAAATTTGGCGCCGGCGCGACATATCCCTTTCACTGAAGGGGCGTGTGTATTGCGCAAAGGTACGTACCGTGTTACTCTCTCCAAGCAGATCACGTCCAACGACTATCCGTATTCGACAACCTTTGTCTGCTCAACATCCCCCGCGTATGAGCATCGCGTGAATAACGATGAGGTTAGGCAACGTGTGCTAGAATCAGATAGTCTTCCGTTGAGAAAAATAATTTCATGGTATCGTCTTAGGTGGCCAGGGAAGGTCCTACGAATGCCCGAGCAACGTCTTTCACACCGTGCACTTCGCGTACATCGGTCCAGGTTGGAAGAAACAATGAGGTGGGCAGGCTATAGCGTGGCACAGAGGGTTAAGGAGATTGTGTTCGGATATGGCTTCCCGGCTCTCCAGCTGGGGCCCCAAACATTCAGATTGCCTTTGGTTAGAGACACTGCGGAATAAGGCATCAAACCGAAGTCAGTGGCTTGACTGCATCCTCAAAACAGTAAACAAACAAAAAATTCGTTATTTTCTCAATTTGACTCCTTTTGTTTTCCCTGCTTCTGTTCCTATATTTTTCTTTCGCCCATGGTTATTTTGGCGCCTTTTCACAATAAGAAGCATATGATTGACCAGATAGAATTCTCCTGGAAGCTCACGACCGGTTTTGCGATTATTGCCGCTCATCAGGCATGCGTATCCGGCAATTTTTTATCTGTTCATTCTTATACCCGTACACAGGAAGTGTATTTTCGTCACCATAACCTCGTTTGTCCCTTAAGGGAAGGGTGCACATCGCCGCGGTTCGTAGTATTCTCCTTTACGGTTGCGAGATCTGGCCTTTCCGAGCTGAGGATGCTAACCGACTTTCCGTATTCGACCACCGATGTCTCTGAAGCACTGCTCGTGTCTGGTGGGAACATCGGATGAGCAATGACGAGGTCCGTCGAGGTGTGTTGGGTGTGGATAGTCTTTCCCTAACAGAAGTAATCGCTTTACACCACCTCCGATGGTTTGGTATTTTATTGCGCATACCTGCCCATCGACTACCTTTCCGTGCTCTCTTTGCATGTTCCGAGCAAGGCTGGAAGATGCTCTGCGGCGGTCAGACCATGACGTGGCTTAAAGGTATGAGGAAGTTAGCCTCAGCATTGGCTTCGGTTGGTGCAGCCCACCTTCCAGGTTGAGGCCCAAGGGATGAGGATTGTCGTTGTTTAGAGACGTTAAGAGATATGGCCCAGAGTAGAAGTCAGTGGAGCGAATGCTGTACGGTCTGTCAAAATCCCGTGCCCCGTAAAAACCACAAACAACGAAAAGAAATTTCAAAAGTGTACGGTGAAACACCCAAAAAAATTATCTCCTATTCTAACAGCTATATCTTTTCCCCATACTCTGTATCCCAACCCCCCCCCCTCTTGTTTTTGTTATTTTTAATATTATTATGGCGTTGGCACCAAGCTTGTTCTCAAGCCGGTGTTAAATGTAATATATATAATATATATACACAGCCTATCGGACCACAACCTGGCTCGCGTGAGGCACCTACTCCATCTAATAGTTCTATGAACTTCTTCATGCCTGATCTGCTGACCTCCAAAGGGTTTCCTGCAGCCGAGCTGGTTTCGCGATGATCGTGAAAACAAAACATAAACAATCAAAACAAACGGGATAAAAAGTCAACTGCCTTTTTCGATAATTAGAAGTGAATTTTTCAAATTAGTAATATTATACCTGGGACTATAATATTTGAATTCAAATAGAAGTAGAACTCAGCGTGCTGTAACAAAAGTATAATCTCGTTTCAAACATTTTATTGACTTACTCAAACTGCCAATAATATTCTCTTCGTCCGGTTTCGTGTCACCTTGAGTTTCGTGGGCATTATTTACCTGGAAATAAACGATCACGTGAAACAAACTGCGACGCAATATCCAGGGTTGGAAACAAGCCAATTAATTACAGCTTTGTAAGCATTCAAATGTCCTCATGACCCTGCTTTTGCTGGAATGGATAAAGCAAGCCTCAAAAACATATACTGTACTCACATCGAGTATGATTATTCGTGATACCAGGCGGGGTGGATACTGATTGTTGTGGAGTTGAAACGGATTAGTTTGACAGCAGCGTGCGCAAGGTGTTTTGATTAATTTTAGCTTAAACAAATAAACCATCAAAAGAGACTACTCACAAGTAGCCTAAACTGCTTGGTTAACAGAAAATTTTCCTAATCGAAAAAGTACAAGGTCAAGGCACGAACCGTCCGTCGATTTATCAACAACAGTTAGATCACTTTTTGCTTTCACGTCTGAATAGCACATTCCATCTCTCAGAGTGACATCGTTGAAAATTGTGGATGATGAACGCATTTTTCATGAATAGCGATTAATTGGACTATGCTATCCGTGGTTTCAGAACGATTTCATGCAATTTTCCATTACAGGAAATATTAATCACTGGTCTAGCGGTGATGGGTTGTAATACAGTAAACAAATCCAAATAGCAATGTGTAATAAAACATTAGATACGGAACTTCAAACCATTAGAGTGACAATTCAGCTTACGTTTTGGGAAATTCTCTCCTCGTATGAATAAACAGTATATGCATAGTGTCTATTTATTTACACATCGCATGACGATGAAATTTTTACGTTAGTATCGCTGCGGCGTAAATCCTGTTTCGTCTAATGAGGTTCGTATCTGCGACGTATCACCCAATGGGCTTCGATAGGGTCGACTACCCGTGTATCATCTGACTAGTGAAATAAATCATTGGGAATAAAAAGACAACTCCGTAATGGTGATGAACCCTAGTAGTGAATTTTCGATAGTACCTGTCTACCAAGATCAGAGCCGGAAAAACTAGCTTTGTCAAACCGAAACGCTGAGTACTGCGATACGATATTCGGGTTGGTCGTCCACATCATACTTCACGAACCCACTGCTCGTGTGTTGCCGGAAGCACCATACGTCACGGACCATATAACTCTCTAATCATGTATCTTAAATAGATCAGTATTAACGAGCAATGATGTACACCCAAGTTCGATGAATACCTTTAATAACTAACAAATAACTACTGGAGACTGTTTCTAACTAAGAAAACAAATAGACAGGAGAAGGTGCCCGGTATATAGTGAAGTTTGCAGTTTGATGCTTCATGGATCGAATGCATGAAACCACTTCCGTGAGTTGGTTGTCAGAAAGTTAGCGTCAGAGAAAAGTAGCCACAACCCACCAACCATCAGAACCGGAAGAGTCGCAACTGAACCCTCTAGCCATAAGGAAAGCTGAGACGGATCTTGCAAGCCAGCTGATTTGGAAAGTTTCAATTCAGTTTACACAACCAATGGAGAATACATAGGAATGTAAAAATATTGGAAGTCAAGTTAGGAGACGGTGACCACAATTAGTGTAGATATAAAGACTGTTAGATATAGGATTCGATATTTTCAGAATACGAGTCGCTATAAAGGGGAGTATGGCGCTAATTAACAACCACCGATCACGGACAAAAAGCATAGGCTTTTGCTAAAAATGGTCAAGACTGATTTATCTCCTTCTGGAATACCACAACACAAGCTAGGTCATAACAATCTTCCAAACAGAACTCTCACCCACCAATAGAACCAACAATATTCAAACGAAAGGCTCCCAAGATTGGTTCTCCCTCTTACCAGAACTCATATGATGATGAGATGTCAGTGGAAAACGCGACAGGGTTTATAGTGTACTGATTTGTGGCAGTGAGTTAGGTGGACTGATTAGGCCAGGTTAACTCTGAGAAACCGTGACAGAATTCTTGTATGATGAAGACGCATAATTTGCGCGAATGATGGTGTGACCCATCCTGTTGCAAGAGGTGATGGCGATTTGATCCAGGTTTAGATGCAATTCGGATAAACGAAAGAGTGTACCTGTGATTCGTATTGGACATTTCGTCACTGGGAGTAGTTGCTAACCGGCTCCGAATAACCATAATCTCTCGTGTATATCCTGAATCAATGGATGGATGCGGTCGGATAAGATCGCCAGGCCACAGCGCTTTTGGACTGCGCTGGAGTGTCGACTAGATCGAGCGGTTGTCTCTGTCCCCTCACCAGCTTGCCTTCAGTATTTCGATTCTATTGATAATCGGTAAAGATCGCAATGCTGTGCCACAAGGGTCCGTCGGTAGATTCGTCGTATGCGGGACTTGAGAGTAGATGAGATAACTAAGTGGAGATTATGTACAACTTAATAACGAGAACAATTCTGTTTCCTGAGTAGATGCTTCGAGAACTGTTGCTTAAGGCTTCCATATCATATGTTTGTAAATAGTACACTTAATTGGTTCAGTTTATTGGTGTTCATCTGTTTGCGCGTACTGCACATTTACAACCACCACTCAGTGTCTAGTAATCAGTTCCAAAATGTAATATGCTTCGTTGAACTTAGGAAGTAAATTTTACAGTTATCTCTTAGTAGGAACTTCTGGCAGCAAAAGCTCAGCCTAGTCTGATAACTAGCAAACAATCTAGACCATTCTCTCAAAGTGATCAAATTATTATGCTGGTCATACCTATCCCGTCACAAGCTAGATAAACACTAAGAGGCGTTGTAGAAAAAATGAACCAACGCCTTTTTCTGATATTTTTTCAAAAGAAAATGGAGAAAAATTAGGCTGATCAGGTGTTTCCTGTAAAATCGTCATTCTTCTGTTTGTCAGGTTTCCGGTTCGATCATCAGTTGGCTGATGCACGCGCACTGCTGATGAAGATATTCATCAATTTTCAAACATTTGCACCGTAATTTAAAGCGTTTTCACTTGAGTTATCTTCGATTGGAGCAAAATTATATTTTCCATAGAACAGTTTATTACCTGTGTACCCGTATCGATGATAAAACCATAATGAAAGCAAATGATCAGGCATCGCTTTGCATTCCCCGTGCAAATTCAGATCAGTGAAACGTACGCCATTGTTTCGCAACCGTTGTTTTGATTGCGGATCCACATAGTGCGTGTGACAGACCTCGAGCATTGACATTGCACTGGCCAAACCACCGATTCCATGATTTGTACACGTCTGTTCAAGTCCCCTTAACATGCACTGAACCAACCAAACAAACGATCTGTACACCGCCTCGTTTGGAAGTTCCTTTTTATGAGCCGAGCAACACATTGGATGTGGGAAACGGAATGGAGGAGGAGAATGGAAGAACATATATGTTTTAGGGTGATTCGGAATAAGAGTGAATAAAATACCTCTATCATTACGTGTTGAAATGATTCGGATAAACAAAGCACATTCTGGGGAGTATCAAGTTTCTCATTCTTCGAGAGTGGCAATAACCACGAAACTACTCTTACATTTGTACTCGAGTCCAGAGAATTCGTTTTTGGATGCACTAACATTTGAATTTACAGAATAAAGTGACAAATGCGAATGGACATTACAGAACATTTGGGTTTACGGTTTAAGAGTCACACGATGAACACAGACAACAGATCACGTGTTTCTCATATCGCACTTCATCTGATCCAGTTTAGGTATGAAGTTGACGAGATAACTGCGTAAGACAAACCATGCTTGATATTTAATTTGGTCTTTTTCAGTATATGGAGATCCTTCGCAATAAACACCATGAAGAGAGAGGAACTCAAATATGTCATTGTTATGGCAATGGTGAGAACGGAAATAGATCAAGGGCCGAACTATGATACGAGAAATGTGATGTTAATAGCTGATGATCTTTGACTTTTTCCTCCACTATGCACTGGAAGAGATACTGCAGAGTGGAATCCAAAATAAAAGTTAAAACGTTGAAATTTGACGATTTCTCCTCTGATATAAGTAATGGTTCTCTCCGTTAATCCGAAAACTATCAATTTTAGTGTCTAGGAGCGCGGAAAGAAGAATTTGTAGCCCTCATCTGATTCAAATCCACCATTGTCTCACATGTAACCTATAGACAAATATAATTGGCTATTAGTTTTTGTTGTTTTGAAAACGAAACCCGCATTATTATTTTTTTAACGCCAGTCCGTTTGCATACCGGAGTAAGATAACCAACGGAAGCAAGTTACTTTATCATTTACCACCTTGGTCATCTTTGCAGAGTTAGATATATACGGTTCAAATCATCAGGTCTTTGTTTGATTAGGCCGAAGAACATCTAAGTCGAGTTAACCGAGGATCAACCAGTTCCGAGATGATTTCAGTGCTACTTTGATTTCTTTCGATTGTCTCGTCAGTGGTCGTGAATGACTTCGTTCAACCACAAGAAGGTCCAGAGACCTAATGTGTCGTATTGTACTCAAGAAAAAAGTGAGTGGAGCCCGTTACTTAATTCTCCTTGGGTATGTGCTTATTAACCATAGATGAACTCATAAATTTCATAAGTGGACTGTTCGCGTAACCCCAAACTCATCACTCTAATTCCCTTCCAGGGTAAGTCAAACCAAAAATCTCCAGAACATTCCTTTAGCAGAATCAAAACCGCGAATGGTTTGTACGTTCTGCCTACGATTCCAATAACATGAGCACAAAATGCATAACCAATGTAGTTTACCTAATTTCCTTTTATAGGTTAATCCTGTCATGTCATTTAACAAGCTTCATCAAAACTCAGTCGGTGAATAATATTACGTCACCACCTAAAGCTCTTTGTACTTCTCGCAGTCGCCTGTTCCATTACCCATCTAACCTATCCGGTTGCGGACGGTTAGTCTCAGTCATTATTTCTTTTCCACGGGTAATTGGTAACATTCACTTCCCACTTGTAAAGAGCAACGATTCAGTGATCGATTTATTTGAGGTGAATCTTCCAAATCAATCAAAGGATTGCGAGGGACAAACATGTGTAACAAACCGCAAACTGGCATTATTCGTTAATGCAATATAACTGGATTGTTTCGAGTATTAACTGCATTTAATTAATAGTCTGGCTATGTGATGCAATGAATTACAGGAGCACTTACATAATCAGTTAGAGTGCATTCCGGATCACCGACTAGTTCCGAACGTCCTACGTGTATCTTCGAAATCAGGTAGCTACGATAGTTCTCGTCGGTGAGTAAATCACGCAGGCGTGATCCGATGCTGTAACTCGCTTCTCGACCTTCTTTGACCAATTGTACGATCGAGCGTAGAAATTCCTGATCTTTGATACTTGGAATTAGAAAGGGAAAGTATAGTGAAAGCAAGAAAAGAAGATTTTAAATGTGACTCCAGGAGCAAAGGGGATTCTCCTAAGTTTGCCCATAGCCCACGTTTTGAGTAGCTTTCTTTCTTGATGTAGACAGTGTGACTTCACTTGAACGACAGCCAGTTAATTTAAACCGGTACAAAACATTTTTAGAAAACCAATGTTTGGACTTGTTCCGTGGCCCAGTAAGAAAAGACGGTTTTCGAAAGTACATGTGCTTTCATTTCGGTCTCTCTGAGAAAGCGATCTTTGTGCGCGCAACTCACCGATCCCAACGGCTTTGAGACCTAGTGAATAAAATGTTCTCGGACCCAGATGTACTATAGGATTGGGTCGAGGTGGCCCGCGCATAATTTTGACAACTCATCAGTATTTATTTTCAAACGAGTTTTGAAAGAAGACAAGTAAATTATACCTTTATAGATTCCGGATTTAGCAGTATCAATTCAAGAGGTGTTGTTACTAATTTGACAGCTTCGGGATAAATATAACAACGCACCTTATCCAGCTGACGAGATACGCCAGTGACTGGTCTTCTGCGCTCTTCCGTCGTCTCCCACCGGTAAAGTGAATTTAGTTGTGAGCACTGCACAAGCAAAGGTGATTGACTGCAGATGTCGGAATGTCCGACACCACTCAGTGATTGACAATTAGATGGCTGGTTGTACAGGCTTCTTGTTTCAGAAGTTTGCAGTCGTATTCACTTATCTCTTGTCCACACGGCAACAGAACATCTTAAATTGATATCAGTACGTATCTGGCTGGTAAGTAGACGTGCTAGATGGAAAATGTATTGTTACGGTAGATAACAGAAACATTTGACCCTTGGAGAGTTGACTTTATTAGCAAGCGACATGGTCATTGCGTAAAGAAACGCCCGGTTCCCACAATGTGTGCGTGTGCCCTCATGAACACGGAGCTATCTGACTGGAGCATCCTTAACCCACCCAAAACCTCCAGCATCTACCATGCTAGATGCTAACACTACAGTGTTTCCCTCGTGTTTTTTTAGCCTTATGAGCGATTCCTTTACTGAGTAGCTCAAAGTCCCAACAGTCTGGTTTTACTTTCCTTCGAAAAGGACGGATGTTTCGAAAATAGTTCACAGAGTCGAAGAAGCATCAACTGAAAACGAAGTTAATGAATCCGTGTTGGTCTGTAAAAGGGATATACATATCTCAACAATAAAAGATACATTGAACTATGGAAGTTTTGGTTAGAATGAAAATTAGTTGCGCAAACGATAAACTTCGTTGAATTCCTTAACGGTCTCAAAGGTAAATCATTCTCCATTTGGAGTGTGGTGCAGTGCAGCATGTGAGTGCAATCAGTGATGGAGGACAGGGGGGGTACTTTTTTCATGCAAAGCGTGACACACCATGCTTCAGTTAATTGCGAA